GATGGAGAGGCAACGGAGGGGTGGATTTCGTGATGTTATTTATTGATTAGAGAGTGTCGATTCGATGTGAGTCAAGAATGGAGATCCAAGGAAGAAGAGGGGTTAAAAAGATGACTCAACCAACTTTTGATTTTTTTTCCCTCTCTTCTGCTACTCCATGCGAATCGCCGCCAATTGATCCATCTGGTAGGCTTGACTGCCTAGGCACGACAGGATTCCAATCCTGCCTTGGCCGAAGGAAGGCCTTTCTAATCAGCCGAGTCTTTTCCGGAGAGCAAAAGCCCTTCTTTTTTTTTTAGCGCTACTGAGGCAAATCCAAGCGGCGCCGAGGAAGCACGAGGCGGCCCTCTCTTGGTGTGCCAGCCTCTGGATCGGTGGCTGTTCTTTGTCCCTTTGGGCTCGGAGTTTGGCTGTCATGAGGACACGGCCATTGGGAGCTGGTGGTGTGCTTGGATACTGGCGTTTGCGCCATAACCAAGTGCCGTCCGTTGTTGTGGACTATGGCGTTCGTCATCTGTCATTGGTGAGCCATCAATCATTCATTGCTGAGCGATCACTCATGGCTGCGCTTGGTATCATGCTGGTCTCGTGTCATCGCTTGATGTTTGTGTCATTGCTGCAGGTGATATGACTGTTCAGCATCGAGGTTGTCTTTCTGCTGCTCTCCCCCCCCTCCAGAGTCGTCAACAGTGGGGTCGAGGTTGGATTCACGTCACAAACAGGTGGTCCGACAGTCGGTCTTGCGACCAACAAAGTGACAGGTCTGACAGCCCAAGTGGATGCTCGACAAAGAACGCGATGACCTGCAGAGCCCAACTGTCACGTTGTGCGACGGCCGACTGCTGCCGTGAAACAAGACTCGGATAGCAAGCGAGGAGGGGTCGAAGGCGAAGGAGAGGAAGAATGAGCGAAGGAGGGCGGGGTCGAAGCTCTCCCTCTTCGACCTGAGTCAAGCATCCGGCGTTGTGACCATCTCGGCGCCTTGCATTGGCCGTGATGTACGTGTACGTGTACATGTACGGTACCTGGAGATGCTTGCATGCCACGCGGCGTTTGCAAACTTTGGGCGAAGCTCAGGTCATGATGAAACTGTACGCAGAGAACGGATGGCGCCGTCGGGCTCGTGGGTGGTCAGGCCTCCTCTCGGTTTGATGAGGCAGATGGTGATGGACATGGGATGGAGGGCTTCATGCCATCAGTCATGATGACGAGACGCAAGCTCTCCCAGTCAAGCCCAGCCGGGTCCCTGGGGCGTGTGCACGCTAAGGGTCGTGACAGGCGGCAGTTGAAGGGCCAGCCTCGTTGGGAGTTGGGAGATGGTCTCCTTCCCCCCCCCCCTACTGGACACGCTAAGGCTGTGCATCAAAGCCCCCAACATGCGCTAGAACCGCAAAACAGGGTCCAGTCCCCAGCGCGGCTGCCCTTCGTCTTGTCGAAAAG